AGGGGGGAGGTGAGGGCGAAGAGCCCGCTTCTGGCTCCGCCGCCCGATTTTTCCCCCCTCTTGGCCTTGACCGAAAGTGTCTGACCACGTCTGCCGCTTTGTCATTTGTCAACATGCGCTACAGCTGTTCTCTAAAAATCATACTGGAGAGAAAAAATAAAGGCAACATTCATGCGGCTGCAGAAAGGTCTCTTTGTTCACACACCAATTAATTTGTTAATGTCGCTGTTGCGGGATTATTTACCATTTCGAGCTATATTTGGCATATCTTACCGAAAACTGCAGGATCTTAAGGGCTGGGATTTTTGGTGGGATCGTTTTTAAAGGAAGTTACGTATAGGGGTTTAACGTGGTGGTGGCCTAAATGCCAGTTCGCTTGGAGATTTTTCTGTAGACGTTATGGCTACATGTTTAATAATAGCTCCACAGACCAAGGGGAAAGATAACGATCATGTGAATGCAAGGATACTTAAGATCCTTCATGGTAACGCGCTGAAGTAAAGGTTATGAGTGTCCTCAAAGGGCCTCAACTACCTCAGAACAAATGAACGCTGGATCCTCTTACTAATACCAAGAAGGGCCGGGGTTACTCTGGGGCTAGATTCCTCCATGCAACATTAAAATTCATACAAGCACAGTGCTCTATGTTGGAAGAGTTCTGCCTTATCCTTTTATTTATTTATTTTGCCCTATTTTAAAATTGGGCTGTTTCTTTTCTCAACAGAACTATTTTGAGGGCCGAGTAGGGCAGTAAAAAGACCAGAATAAGAGGTTTCTGGAATGTCAACAGCCCTGTATTATGTGGGCCCTTGTTGCTCCGTTGAAATCTGTTTAATAGTTTCTGGTGCTCATATAGGATATAATAGGAGTCACTGGGTTTTTTTTTTCATCTAATTTTTCTTTGCGTTTAGTATAATTTCTCTTTTAGTTTCTAGAACATAAGCCATACTGAAAAATTCAAGTGTATGGAATCACCTTTTCTCTTGGGTTCATAGAAAATATCCATTCTCATCAATCTGCTCCAGTAACCCATAAGTCAAAAAGTCACTAGAATGGGTGGATGGATAAAGAAAATGTGATATAGACATGCAATGCAATATTAATCAGCTTTAAAAAAAATCTTGTCCACGCGGGGCTCAGTGGCTCAGGACTCTAATCCCGGCACTTTGGGTGGCGGAGGCGAGAGGATTGCCTGAACCCAGGGATTCGAGACTAGCCTGGGCAATATGACAAGACCTTGTCTCTACAATAAATCAAAAGATTAACTGGGAGTGATGGTGCGTGCCTGTGGTTCTAGCTATTTGGAAAGCTGGGGCGGAAGGATCATTTGAGACCAGCAGTCGAGGCTGCGATGGCCGTGAGCTTGCCACTGCACTGCAGCCTGGGCGACAGAATGAAACTCCGACTCAAAAAAAAAAAAAGTCCTGTTACACACTACAACATGGATGAACCTTAGGGACATTGTGCTAAGTGAAACAGGTCAGTCACAAATCCCAAAAAGTGATTTTGCTTACATGAGATATCTAAAGTAGTCAAACTCTTAGAAGCAGGAAGTAGAATAATGGTCACCAGGGACTGGGGAGAGGGGAAACGGGTAATTATTCAATAGAGTTTTAGTCTTGCGTGATTAAAAAGAGAGTTCTGTTGCACAAGATGCATATAGTTAACACTACTGTACTGAACACTAGAAAATGGTTAAGATGGCAAATTTTGTTTGGTTTTTTTATTGTTGTTGCTGTTATTTATTTTTTGAGTCAGTCTCACTCTGTTTCTCAGGCTGGAGTAAAGTGGTGATCACCCCTCACCACAGCCTCAACCTCCTGGGTTTAGGTAGTCTATCCACCTCAGCCTTCCAAGTAGTTGGGACTGTGGGCATGTGCCACCACGCTCAACTAATTTTTTAAAATTTTTGTAGCAGCAAATTCTTGATGTGTTGCCTAAGCTGGTCTCAAACTCCTGCACTCAACTGATCCTCCTGTCTTGGCCTTCCAGAGTGCTGGGATTACAGGCATGAGCCACTGTGCCCAACCTATTATTTGTTTTTTTACTACAATATTTCAAAATACAAAAACAAAACAAAAAAGACACCAGAGATGTTACAACTGGGAAGTGACAGCAAGGGAGAAGGCATTCGTTTTTTCCTCAATTATTGCATATGTGAGTCATGCTGGGTAGACATGGGAGATATTAAAATCCATAAGACCAGGACTTGCCCTTGGTAGACAGAAGCACAAAAGAGAGTGGAGAAGCTCATCTTCTGTTAACTGCTCAGTGATCAATTAATGGTCACTAGATTGTGAATATGAACACACTTGATCCTTATGAAAACACACTGGTTCCTAAAATAGTTATGATACAGGCGTGTGCATTCAGCAATAGAGGAAGTTACAAAGCAGAGGGTAAAGTTCTGTAAATGTCAGGAAGATGACCTGCCTTTTGTGTCATCAGAAGTTCAGAGAGGAGGTAAACGTTGTCCCAGATCTTAAAAGGTGAGGAAGCGTTTGTTAGATTTGGAGGATGAGGAGGTTGGAAGGGAAGGGATATTGAAAAGAACTGGACAGATATCACATGCAAAGTTGTGGAGACATGGAACGGCATGGCTTGTTCAAGGAACAGCAATGGGTGAAGTTGGTGCTGGCATGCAGGCTCCTATATTACCTGCAGGCCAAAAAAAGAGTGGTGGAAGCTTCCAAGAGTTTTCCAGAGTCAGACCTGGTGACACTCAAATTGTAGATTGGGAATTCCTGGGCTCACCCCAGTCCCTTATGTATATGTGACAAAGCCTGGCTAGATGCTTACCAAATGCATTTTCTTTTCCAAGATAGATAAGCTACACTTCCCAAAAGTTGTGCATATTGGTAGGGCCACATGATTCGTTCTCCCCAGTGAGATCTGATTCCCACTGGGCAGTCAAGAGAAGGTATGCCTTGTCCACTCTCCTTTGTCCTTCTGTCTTCATCCAACTCGATGGCACCAGGTGAACCTTAGAGCCTTGTGTCTGATATTAGCACTGCTGTGTGAAAGCAGTCCCTGAATGCCTGAGTACATCAGGGCCTCCTCACAGAAGGTACCATACTGTGATATGAGTGAGAAATAGATCTTTAGTGAATGCAGCCAGACATTTTGAGGTCACTTATCACAGCAGCTAGTGTTACTTATCTTGGCTAATAGAATCTCCCAGATGGTCCATTTTCTGATAGCTTAAAGATCTTTGCATAATCTTTACATAATCTTGAGACCATCTTTTAAAAGTTATTTCACTTTCAGTTTAATGTTTTATTTGGTTTCTATAGTTGTCATCCTCCTCCTGAGCACATTTTAAAAACGTATATATTATTTTGCCAGAGTGCTAAGAAAGTAGATTATCTTATGTCCTCTAACCCCGAGGTCACTTGGGAACACACAGGAATGGCTTCCAGCCCAAGCAATGTTTTCCTATTTTAGTGGCTGAAATGCCACCATTTCATACTTACTCAGTTAGATGTTCTTATCCCTGAATCAGATGTAGCCTAAGGTCCATGTGAGGTAACTCAGTGAGCTAGTACTGGTCCCCAGATCATGAGTATTCACGTATCAGCTTTTAATGACTGGAGAGGAAATAAGTGCTGGTGAGGGCAGGCCTGGAGAGTTAGGCTTGGCACAGATGTTTCCTTACCACGTTTTAAGGAAACTCAATTTCCAGAGAGGAATATTCTAGGTGACCTGAAAACTGAGGGGGAAAAAGAGGAAGCCAAGAGATGAGTTCTGCCACGCTCATCTTAAAGTGAATCAGAGTGGTCTTTTGGTCATCTTTTAAAAATATTAGCATTTCATGTTTATTTTCATTAAAAATAGAGAGCTTCTAAGGTTAAAAGTAAAAAAATTTAAGCTGGGCATGTTGGCTCACACCTGTAATCTCAGCACTTTGGGAGGCAGAGGTGAGAGGATTGCCTGAGTCCAGGTATTTGAGACCAGCCTAGGCAACTTGGTGAGACCTGGTCTCTACAATAAATCAAAAACATTAGCCAGGCATGGTGGTGTACGCCTGTGGTTCCAGTCACTTGGAAGGCTGAGGAGGAAGGATTAACTGAGCCCGGCAGGTGGAGGCTGCAGTGGCCCTCGTATAAAAATAAAAATTTAAGACAAGCTATCTAGAGGTAGGGTCTCCAACGTGAAATGCATAAGCTGACCCCTGAAATTCTAGAATAAAGTATTTAAACTGGTAGTCACAAACACATACCTTTTTTCACCAGAAAAAAAAGGGGGGTAGAAAGAAATGAAGCGTGACTAATATTTAATATGAAGATGGGTGCTGGCACCCCCACTTGATCAGTAAGTAGGCAGGCATGTGGGGTATTGAGTAGGGGCAGGCTATAGGAGGGTGGTTTGGGAGGGAGGGAAGGCTCTCTCCTTTGTTCACTTTTACTATATTG